GTCTCTTGTCCAGGGGCTCTGAAATGTACCCCTAACAGGAGGCTGTAATCAATGATATGTTGAGATTCCAGGAACTTGCAGTCTAAAGAAATTTGTCTGGCAAAAAAGGAGACAAATATTGAGTTCCACAGAAGATAAGAAAATAGATGAAGTACATAAATAAGGAAATATAGATCCTACAAAGAATTACTAGCGGGTTGTGACAGCATGGTTAAAAGAACAATGAACTCTAGATCATACTTGAAGTATCAAGGAAAAATGCTTCTTTCATTTTATTCAGTCTATAACATACATATACCATCTTAATCAGTCCAGTTCAAAACATTACAGTTTGTCTGACAAACATCACATATGGAATCGGTGAAAGCTGTTAGATAGTGTATTCTTATTTTGACCTTAGACAAAAAGAAAAGAAAAACCACAGGCACGTAATCATAAAATCTTTGGAAGAGTATAGCCGTAGGCAGGGATAATGGGTGAACAAAAGGATTAAAGGCCAGTCTTAGTTAAAACTTATTGGGTTAAGATGCACATAAATGTAGAGAAAAAGAGATCATAGCAAATATGCCATATGGATTAAAATGTAGTGTGGCATGGGATATGAAACAGAGATACGAGTGCTAAGCTTTTGCAATGATGAATAGGTATTTCTTCGTTCATCATCTTTGATCTCTAGTCTCATGTTTTTATTACTTTTGCTGTTCCTGACTATTGAAAATCTTGCACAAAAGATTAGAGAACTTTGTAAGGAATTTAAGGCAGAGCACAGCAATGAGTTCTGCCATTACATTAAGATTGAGAAGGCCAAACTACAGGTTCACTATATTATTTTACAAAGCTACCTTTTGCCAATCAGCAAGATAGGCACTTAGGTGTGACAATCTGGCATCAGACTTCACTTATATTAAGGTAAACTACAGTAACTTGCTCAAGCATTCTCAACCAAAGAAAACCTCTATGGAAGAGTAGAATTCGGTAGGAAGTGATAAAATCCTACTTCAAGTATTTTCTTCAAAAAACCAAAATTTGCAGAGACTTCAGGAACATCAGAAAAGAAGATAAGTAAATGAAACATCTGAACAAAAAGAGAAGTTGGAAAAATAGGAAAGCGGCAACAAATACACTTTAAGAAAAGGATCCTTCAATTCTATGACCACACAAGATATAGAGTGGGGACTCACTTAAAGAGGTATTCCCTCAGCAGCTTATCCATGTAAAATTCATAAGACAGATCCAGATCCTTCAAAGTGGTATTTTCTCTAATTTTATCTTCCTCTGTACATCTTCCAAGAGTTGATCCCTTAAGATCATAACGACGATGAATTCTCAATTCTGTGCAAAACATATTTCCCATGACCACAAAG